ATTATTACATAATATAATTGATATCAAATACAAAAATATCCCCTACATCCAACTTTATTATTGACTTTGCACTGTTTTCACCATTTTTATATAATAAGACCTCAAAATTAGATTAGTTTTTGAAACTATTATCAATAAACTGATTTTCAATTTAAAGTTAACATCGGGGTGACTTCATTGAGTGACTTTATCTATTTCTTCCATTCATATTGCTATAATATGTACTTTAGTACTCCAGTTCTTAACCTATATAATAATATTAATAAGTAACTGCACATATACGAATGCTGTATAGATTGAATGAAAATCTATTTTGCGTTATAATAATAATAAATATCGTATACAAAAGTAATGATAATTATTTGTAAAACCATTATAATACCATTTTAATATTACAATCTATGGCATTTTCTCAATGAATATAAATTAATTATTGAGAAAAATATTGTATACCTACGCTTATTCTTGAGGTAAAATATGAATGATAATTTTACCAAATATATTATTTTATACTCTTAATTCTATGTTTTAGTATAAATATAATATATACTAGAGACTATAATAAATACAGTGTGCATTTTGATTTAAAATGTCAAAAAGTAAAGATAGTCAATCGAATAAATTATTTAGTAATATGTTTTTTTTTTTTATGAATTATTAATTTCTACGAAGAAAAAATATATTTATTGATTTTTTATAAAATATTCATGATATGTTTAATCGTGAAAATGTTTTAGTTTTTTTTAAATTGATTATTCCCAAAAAGTGTGTATATCATAAGTTACTGTTTTTGATGAACCCTTCGAGAATTTAGAACATTAAACGTTCAAGCACTTTATTCCTTACGCAAAAAATGTTAATAGGCAAAGGCACAAAAAGTACAGATTAAAACCAATTGTAACCTAACTACCTTATATTGAATCTTAAACAATTTGACTGATAAATGTATTTCTCTTACCCAAGTAAAATAAATGTGACTTTATAATAATATATTATACATATTGCATGAAAGAATATTATATTTTTGGAAAAAAAAATATACTGTGTAAAATTAAAATGATGAAACTTGAAAGAGAAAACGTAATAAAATTGACAAAATATAAAATATATTAAAATATAAATTCGTATATTATTACCGTCCTCGAATATTTTTTGTACGTTTGAACATTTATTTTCATTTTTTGTCAATATGCGATATTATCTTTGAATTTCAATAGCTAAGGGAAATTATTCCGTGCATATATTATTACTTCATGAATACCTAGCAATATTATTATACTTGTTTTATTATTATTTCATTTAATTCAACTATGTACCTAGGTAGGTACCAATGTGAAAAACAAAATTTATTGTTTTATAATTTGTTATAAAATTTGATTCTTCCGTTTACTTAAATCTATATTTATAATTCATACACCTTACTATAGCTACCTATTTGAAGTCCCGGAGGAAATATTTATTTATAATGTAGAGTGTTAATAGAATTTTAATTATTTGGATAACATTGTATATGGATAAATCACTCGAAACATATTAACAGCAATTTGATATTACTATATAGACATTATACCTTCAGAAACAGACGAAAGAGATAACCTAATGTTTCTCAAACGTGAATATGTCAGGTGTACGTTTATGTATGTTAACATCAGACCCTTAAGTCGTAACCATGGTAAGTTTGCAATTAGACATCCGAACGACGTAAGTACTAACGTGCATAAGGTAAATTATTAAAAATGCTTAACTCGTGTAGAAAAGTTTGTACTTTAAGTATATCAATTATCAATGACAACAATTTATTTGAGATTTCGAACAGTTTTCCCGATAACGCGTATGAATATTTTTTAGCAGTGTTTCTAGAATTACACATTTTGAACGACATAAGAACATGGAAATTTTTCTTAAAATAAGGTTCTATATAGATTTAAAATTAAACTCAAACTGCAGAAATTGTGTTAACTTACCAACTACTCAGTTAAGAATAACCATAATTTAGAGGTGCTCGTGGAGCACATGGCGTCCGCATGGAACACACACGTCTTCCATCGATCTATATCGCAACTGCGGTGAACGCCGCAAACATATGTAATATACCTACAAGTTGAAATATAGTTAATTCAAGTTAATACAATTCTCGTTGTTTTACTTTTGCACTAATAAACTACATTAAATTTTGATTTTTCCTAACTTTTGATTTTGATTCGTAAATGCTGAGGTGTTACTTCGTTTTTCGTCTAAGAATTACAATGCACAGTTAAGCTACTCGTTAGCATATTTAACGGAAAGGTTCATAAATAAACATAAGTCGAAAAATATGTTTGAATTTTAAATAATTTTATAACTAATATGCAATAAACCACCCGATAACTACTGAATGTTAGTAAAACGTGTAGTGATCTCGCTAGCAAATCGAGTATATTTGAGCGAGATGATCTTTTCAAGAATATGTTGTGAATAAAAAGTAATAAATAGTAATAACAATAATAACAAAATAAAAAAAAATATTAAAATAACAAAATATAATCTATAGATATTTAATGTTATAATAAATAGTATAACTGCGGTCATTGGATTTACAGGCACGTACCTACAGCTGCTAAATTCAAAGTGAAAGGATGTGAAAAACTTACAGCGAGCGGAGCAAATTAATAATATAAAGAACGCAGTTTAGACTTTTGCATTATTTTTATTGGAATAGCTTCAATTATTGTCTTGTGATAATTAATAAAGAATAACTGATCGTATTTGTCCTCTTCTTTTTCTGATGGCTTTTTATGTCATGTTAATTAAATTCCCGGGTACACGGAAATACGGAATGGACAAACGTCATCAATTTATTTTCAAAAGAATGTATTTTTTTTTTTATTATATCTATCTACTATAAAATATTAGATTGTGATTGGGTTTTCTGATTAAATACAAATGAGATCACTGGCAATTGGCCGATTACGGAATTATCGTCATGTACAACTTGAACGCACTTTACGCGATCTTCAGGTTATATTGCGAAACGGATATAACTACCTTCAGCATAATACCTATGATACCATTCAATAATATAATTTAGTACTGTTTATGACTATAGGCAGTTTTATAATGCAATAATATATTTGACAGCTAGGTACGGTTCGATTGTAAATTTAATATAAAAATAACAGTTTTGTATAATTTAAGTTATTGAATCAATTTCGTCACAAAGTATTCCCCACTGATGTGATTCATTTTTTAAATTTAGGTATGAACTATCTACGATAAATTTAAAAAATTGTATTTGTTAAAATAATAACTAATAACATAAGAAAATATTTATTTTATTTTGCATCGTATTGTTCCCATTATATTATGTCACGAAATTTATTAAACCTATTACATAACCTATATTATCCACTTTATTATTTAATAAAGTCGTATGTTGAATAGTTGAATTGTACATAATGTACATAATGTATTTAACACTTACTGAACAATTAACTAAATTCTATATAATTAAATAATTTGATAGTAATAGAAATAAAATACATGAGAGGTTAGATAAACCAAAGAAGTAATAAGTATAAAAATTGAAAATTTTATAAATTTTTAATTACAAAATCATTTTCAATTTGATGAATATAGTCAAAATTTAAACTATATGCTTATAAAAAAAAATCGTGCCAATGTATTTCTAATATTTATCAACTGCTATATATCAAGAGCTTTGTATTAACATTTTATGCTTTTTGACCCAACTAATACAATTTTATTGACATTTATAGAAAAAAAAAAAAAATTGAAAATGTCATTCAACAACTTAAAACGAGTTAAAATATTTCGAAAAATTCATCAAGTATAGAAATTGATGAAATCAACATATGGTGTAAATTTCAAGTGTCGACATTAATTTGTTTTTGAATTACAATAAAATAAGAAAATCGCTACAAGAGAAAAAGAGTTACCAATGTTGTAAAAATTTCAAATTCAAAAACTCATAAAAATGTAATTTTACTTTCCAGAATTTTTTTGATAAAGGTAGACAAACTTGTTAGAACTCTTGTAATAATTTTAGAAATCTAAGATATCAATAGAATTTTTTTTATGAATTTCTAACTAAATATAGTGTAGTAATGGTAGCAAAAACTCTTAGAGAGTAGAAATGCCAGGAGAAGAAGCAAGAGAATTAAGTACGATTTGATAATTATCGTGATTTTCGTGATTTTACGAATTTTGTTAAAGTTCCAAGTTTAAACGCCCATAAAAAGTTATTGTAGGTCAAGTTTAACTTTTTTTTTTGATTACCATTAACAACAACTTACAAAAAACCTTGTATTACATTTCTGTCAAGTTTTTTGATGGAGCTAAATTTTTGTATCGACTTTAGTTTGAAAGAAACAAATTATAATCGAAAATGCCCATAAATAGTTCAACACAAATCAAAATATTTTGAAAATGTTATGGTGTATAGAAAATGATTACTCAATTAATATTCAGAGAACATTTAATGTATAGACTGTAATTTTTGTTATAGAGGTACACTAAATCTTAAATAGATTTTTTCGAAAACTGGTTTTTAGTAAAAATGTCTGATTTTATTTCATTTTTTGATTGTTATTCCTGTTGCTTTTGAAAACTATCATGAATTTTAAATTGTAACCTTCTAAATGCACCAACAGGATTCACTTTAAATACGAAAAAAAAAAAATATAAAAACACACAACATTCTAAAATCAACACATTCATCGTTCCTCTCAGAATCTAAAATTCTACGAAACAACTGCTCCTTAATATTGACCGTGTTGAAAATGTCTATACTAATCTTTTTGTTGTATGTTTACAGGTGGACGTATACCTAAAAAAAAACACATTCGTTCATACTATGAAGTCATTACACTGAAATCGAAGTACAAGAACACCAAAATTATATTTCTTTTAATATTTCAAATTATATTGACACGTCATCATGAATTGTGGGGTGGACTCGTAAAGTATGATATAACACGTGTTACATGCTTCCCGTAGACCGATCAAGCCGCGAGCATCTCCTCTATCTCCAAAAAGGTTTTCCCCTTGGTCTCGACCATGATGAAGATAGAGGCGACTACCCAAATGAAGTTGAACACCGAGTACAAGAAGTAATTGGAGTAGACGCCAAACGCATTGGTCATGAACGTGTAGATGCCGTCCAGAATGAACGAGGCACCGGCCAGGAACACGACGCACAGCGGGGCCGCCTTCGTCTTGACATTGGCCGCGAACATCTCACCGAGCAGAGTGTACGCGAGCGTCCCGGCGCCCATTGAGTAAGACAGTATGAACGCCCACAGTAACAGTACCGGCCACCACGATAAAGACGAGCCCCCCTCCACGTTGGCAACTACGTACAGGCCGACGCCGTACAGGGCCGTCGCAACGCCCATCGCAAAGTGTGACAACACCATCAGCGGCTTCCGGCCCAACAAGTCCACCAAAAACAAGGGCAAAAAGTTTCCGCAATTTTTGATCATGGTGAACACCATGACGGCCACCAACGGGTTCAACCAGTAATTTTTGGACGGCAGCGTTATCGAGCTGAAGTGTATGAACTGCGAACCGATTATAGATTGTTGGCGATGAGTTCACAGTTAATGCGTTAATTAAATAAATATGTGAAAAGCGTCATAATACTATATGAGACTGTCTACCGGTAAAATGATTTTTCCACTCCCAATTTACCGTCAGGGAATCGTTTTCATAATTATTCTAAATAATCGTGTAGTAATAATTATCACTATATAGAATATACCTACAGGACTAATACCGCTCAACCTCTGAAACACGCAAGCTCCCATCGTAATGATTAAAGCCCTCCGGTTGGACTTGGTCATGAACAGCTCACTGTACGTCGCCTTTGACTGCATCTGCTTGGCAACCGTCTCCTCGATCATCGCCAGCTCGTCCTCGACGTCATCCTTGGCCCGGATACGCATGAGCGATTTCTCGGCTTCATCCTTCCGATCTTTCTGCATCAGGTAGTACGGGGATTCAGGCATAAAGAAGAACAGGACAGTGAACACGGTTGAGATGGACAGACCTAGTAAATTGAGCTGTCGGTAATTCAGAAATTGGCCGATCATCTGAATACATAGCATGCCCATCGCCAACGAAATCGGAAACATGGACAACACAGCACCTCGTAACTTGACCTCGGCTATTTCGCCCACGTAAATTGGTATTGCGGAGATTGTCATCCCCTTGGCCAGTCCGGCGAACAGCCTGGCCAAGTATAGTTCATCCAACCGGGACGGCCACGTGAGCATCATGATCCAGGCTATCATGTTCATCGGACCGATGTTGCTGATTGTCTGCTTCCTTCCGTATAATCCCAGAACATAACCGCATGGTATGGGGCTAATCATGTTGCCCAAGTCATACATGGCGATCATCGTCCCGTAATTGGTCACATCCAACTCAGTCTGGTTGTTTTTCATCTGGTAGATGGCCGTCGACGACCATCCGATCCACGTACCACAGACCATATAACCCATACATGCTGCAGACGAAACGAATACCTATTCCTTTTAACTTTTCACAGTTGGTAATACTTTTAATATTATTTATATCTTTTCTATAAATGTGTACGATAACTATTTAAAATTAAAAAGAATACGTTTCTGCAGTTGAAAATTTAATTTGTTTCTGGAGCATTAAGGATGAACAATCGATTTTGTATCGTTAGTCAGGCATTTTGAAAAATTTAATAAATTTTGTATTTCCTTTATGTTTTCGTCGATTTGGTATGTCTACTTTTAGGATTTACTGTTAATATATGATTCACCTGATTTCCAAATTGTACTTAGCATGTATGCTGTAGGCTTATTTTCATCACCAGCAGACTTGTACTCAAATAACAATTTAATGATATTTAAAATACCATAAGAAACAAACATTCAAATATTTTATCTAACATATGAATAATTTATTCATAAAAAAAACAATTTTTTTCTGCCCTAAAAATAGTGTTAAAAGCGTGATAAAAATAATATTATTATCTATGTATTTGTATAATCGTTGCTAGCATATGCATTCATATGCATTCATTCTATATTTTTTTTGAGTTTTATTTTTAGAAAAAGTATTCAAATACAAAATAAAAGCTATACCCCATTATCTGTTATGAAATTACCATCGCAGACATAACTTGTATACCTTATATCTATTATCTTATAATAATAGTATACCTACTATTATAGATACAAAATCAAAGTAGGAAAACACACATCGACAGTGTTGGAATTTCAAGTTTCTGTGATTTATAAAAGCTAATGATAATGTAAAACGATATTAAAATAGGAACTTCAACAAATATTTCAATTTTCAAAATAAATTCCTAAGACATCATCAAAAACTCTTGAATTAAACGAAATAAGCAGGCTATTTAATTAAATTAAATATATTAATACAATAAATAAAAAGTTATTTTGTTATATTTTATGTGATAATATGTTCAACGAACTATTTAAATTCATGGGAATTTGGCCTTTTAGTTGATAACTAATAACATATTCTTTTACTTTGCTTAAAACTTGAAAATTATTCAGGGCTTTGAATCCGAATTAACTCAAACCCCTTACTCCCCTAAAAATCCTTAAAAATCCATACAACCCATTTTTAAACATCCCTTGTTAATTGTGTTAATTCACAACCCAATATTTTTTTATATACAAATTTAAATCATAATTTAAAATAAATAATAATTATTAAGAGAAACAATTTTGTTAAACAGATATAAATTATTTCAAATAATAACAAAAGTACAAAAATGTTTAATATCTTTTAAGGAGGAGTGAATGGGGGTGTTTATGTTGTTTTGATGATATTCGTTAAATGTATTTCTTGTGGTGTTAATGTATATTTTACGTCTTATATCTGATCATCTAATAATATTTCTTCTGTTTAATATCCATCTTAACCCGAAGAATAACGATTATTAACAATCAAAAGTTTGTTTAAATTTAATAATCTACTGATTGAGTATCCGAATACATCCAGCACTTGAAACCCGAATAAAATGATTCAAAACTCTGAAATTACTACGAATTTTAGTAATTTTACTATTCTTTCATGTATTAAAATATAATGAAATTACTTAAATCCGACAGCCTTTGTTCCATGCACTATTATTTGCTAAATCAAAGAAATTATAATGATTGATTAATAAAATATAAATACACTCATAATATTATGCTGATTCATACTGTGTTTTTATAAATGTTATTTGTTAAAAAATTATTGTTAAAAGCGTGATAAAAATACATTATTATCTATGTATTTGTATAATCGTTGATAACATTATTATTTTTCGTTGTATTAATGCTTATTTATATATTTTATATATTGCCATATTGGTGTTAATTTCAAATTATACCAAAACGTATATAAATTAGTTCGAGAATGTATATACATTCTATAATTCAAATACAAAATAAAAGCTATACCCTATTATCTGTTATTAAATTATCACCGCAGACATAACTGTCCTTTGATAATACTACATCTACTATTATAAGTATAAAATCAAGGAATCTAGGAAAACACACCTCGATTGTGTTTATAGACTAATAGACCCATAATTGTTTTTAGTAATGTTTTTTGTTAAAACAAAAATCATAATTGAGGCGAGTTAATATTTTGACCTCTTCCGCGTACTTAAACGATGTTATACATTCTTAAATAAATGCATATTATTATCTTTATAAATTAAAATTTTAAACGCGTTTCTTTACATAGAGTAAAATTATAGAAGATTATAATATATCATTTAGTATGTGCATTAATTTTATGATAAAAAATAATAAAGTTTAGTCTCGATTATTCGAATTTCAAGGGCAATAAAAATAAATTCGAGTAATGAATTTTCCCTATTGTGTACCTCAAGCAAAACGTTTTAAACCACTTCAAAGAGCAGGAAACAAAATTAGAGTCTTCTAAGTTTTTGAGATACTGAGACTTGAATTTATTGTATTATATAGGTAATAAATACAAAATATATAATTATATTTGTATATCTTGATTTGATAAATTATTTGTGAATAATAATAAATACCTATTAAAGCAATTGAAAAGGTAAAGAACACTGTTTTCAATCTTTCTTCCGTCATCTAAAAAGATTTTTCAAACAAAAAACACTAGCGGTTTAATAATATATACAACATAATTTGTAATTATAATGCATATACTAATGATAAAACAGTTTAAAATAAAACAATAAATCAAATATATATTTTTTAATTTCGATGGCAACATAATGGTTATTGATTATAATTATGTTTAATTGTCAAACTTTAACCGGTAAAATGGTTTATACAAAACTAAAAATAGAAGTCTGTTAAACCACAATCTACACTGCTCTAAAATAGCATTTTAAGTAAAAAAATATACCCCGTTCCTTAATATGTTTCTCGGAATTTTTAAATAATAAAAATACTTTTAAACACTAAAATTTTGAGGCTATTATACAAGTGACGCGAAAATTTTGTGTTATGTCAAAATGTATATTATTTAGCTTTTTCATATATAATCATTATTGTATATCATATTATATTTTTAGAGGATAGTAGTCTTCCTGAAATATATTCCTTATAAAATATTGTTACAAGAATCACACACGTGGAAATGTAGGCATTATGGTTTTTTCTTCTACCCTTCATAATGATAACAATATATTCTTTATTGTTCAACGATAACCATGTCTATTGTCCTGCATGCTTGTTCAGACTTTCAAAAGTTGTTTAAATATAAAGTTACTGCATATCGTCTCAAGGGCTCTCGTGTGGTAAGTTCATAAAAAAAATTGACATACAAGTTTATTATTATGTATGTTAAATGATGAAATATATCAATACATGGATGTATAAACATTTTGCACTTCCACAGTAAGTTGTGAACTTTAAGTTAAAAAAATACAATGCCAATAATAATGATATATTTATAAATGTTAAACAGTGACAGTGTAGAATATATTAGAAATATGGTATAGTTTTCAAATATTGTTATTGTACATTTGTACACGCAAGTCACAAGTAAATATAATATGATTTAATATTGTATGCTATAATTTGTAGGTATGACTTTATTTTTATTTGTATTCAATGGTCTACCTATAACCTGGGCATGTACCTACTAGTCTCGTAATCACCCCCCCCCCCCTCAAAAAAATAAAAAAATAGTACTTTGAGAAAAATTCACCAGTTTCCCTCAACATATCATATACAAGATAAGATGCCACATTTGGCTTACAATAGGGGGAGGGGTAAATATACAATTACACTAAAATGAAAAAATGCATATAATAATAAAGAGTATGCAATGTATAAAACGTAAAAAAAAAAAATAGATGTATGCAATATTTAATGTATAAATTATGTTTTTTGTCATAATATCAGATTCAACAAAATCATATCTATTAATACTTGTATTTTTATATCTATCCATAAAATCTTCGATTTGTTTTTATTTTGTATAAGTATTTTTTTAGTTCAGTACATACTCATAAAAATGCCTATAATATTTATTTGTTTGAACTTCTTCAAGAACATTTACAAAAATTAAAATATTCAGATGAGTGCCTAAATTCCACTGAAAACAACGCATGCATTGGTAGTCCTCCTTGAATAAATTTAATTCGTAGTCTATTATATTATTAGGTGGGAAATTCAAATTTGAAGAAAAATAATATGTTATATAATATGTAGGTACCAACCAAATTATAGTCTAAAATCTCAATTTTTTTTTCTGATAAAGGGTGAACTGTTATAATTGTAACGCTGATATCCTTCAATAAAGTGTTGTAATGATGTGAATGATGGTGAATGACACGCAATTCAGCGATTTATAATTTGCAGTAATTAAGACATTTATGAATTAATATAATTTCCATTTTTGTCACACAGTTGAAACTGTAGAAAAAAATTCGCATAGTACTCAAATGGACCGTCCACAAAATAGTTATCTCGTTAATATAACAATTTTGAACTTGATCGTGTAGCAAAACAACATTTTCTGGGTCGTTTTTATGTAATATAAAATTCTCATCTTTATAGTTATAAATTATGTATAGTTATAAATATATAACAGTTGAAACTTAAAAGTTCAACTAAATTTAAATACATATCTAATTATTTCATAATTAAAAACAAGTTGATATTTTTAAGTCATTGCAGTTAGTACGTTTAAATTTTTGTCAACTGGTTGTTATCGTCTGGAAACGTTTGCATATTTTGTTTTACACTAACATCAGAAGACGTAATTTCGACAATTAGTTAAGTTTATCTATTTACACTAAGAAGGTACTATTTAAATCATTCTCTTTTGTGGATTATAGAAAAATTGTATTTTTATTCATCAACGTCATTATTTAAAATCTGAGAATATATTGTATTGTTTAATTATTTATCAATTTTTAAACGTCTTCATCATATTTAATTATGTTAGTATAATAATTTACTAATTTATATTGTAATGTTTGAAGATAAATTTTTTTTTGAAAAAGTGGTACAGTTCAATACATTTCAGCACCTAAAGATTTGGATTTACTAGTGTATTAACATTATTTTACTTTAATTTCTTACTCATTAGAAAAAGAAAATTTCATAGAATTCAAAAATTTACTTAATAAATATTTGCATGCATGGTTTTTTGTTGGTTTGTATCAATAAAATTATAAAATTTTTTGACTTAGTTACACATTTATAATTTACAAAGCTATTCATACAAAAGCAGCAATTTTGAAGGCTTATGAAATAGCTTATCATTATTTTCTACTAATAATTTGTATAAACATTTTTAAAGTGCAATAAATATAGCAAAATATTTTAACACAATTTAGAATAATACTGTGAACTCATTTTGAACCGTTAGCATGAACCAAAATTCTGTAAGTTTACAATGACAGTCATACCTAATCATGAATGGAGAGTATATAACTTGTGGCTAATAACAGTAAGTACCTCTATTTATATTAAATTTTAAAGACTTGCATTATATTTTACAAGGTATTTACACAAAACCAAAGACTTTTAACTAGGCATTTGTCTAGAGACAATGCATCAGTGTATAATTCATTAATGGAATTTTACAAAATAACTACAAAATTCACATGTATATAGCTTATTTAATTATTAGCCCAGAATTTTGAATGATACGTCAAAATGCTTACAAAAATTAACTCTATGTGAATCATATTTCAAAACTATGGGTTCCCATTTGAATTTTAAAAGTTAAACCTAAAATCTCCCCTTTTCATTTAACAAGAAAAATAATTAATTTAAAAATGAGCTTATATATTATAATTAAAAGAGGTTTTCATATACCTAAGTAGGTAATTTTTTCATAATTTAAGTATATCATGCTGTAATCTGCTGTCACATGAAATTTGAAACACCCTGTCTATACATTATACCTTCAGAAACAGATGAAAGAGATAGCCTAATGTTTCCCAAACGTGAATAGTTCAGGTATACGTCTATGTATGTTAAAATCATACCCGTAACTCGTAAATCGTAACCATGTTTAGTTTGCAATTAGACATTCGAACGACACAAGTACTGACGTAAATTATTAAAAATGCTTAGCTCATGTAGAAAAGTTTGAACTTTATGTGTATCAATTATCAATGACAAAAGTTTATTTGAGATTTCGAACAAAGCTTTTCCGATAACGTATTACTATTTTTGAGCCGTGTTTTGAGAATTACGTGTAACGGCATAAGAACGTGGGACGTTCTCGTAATATAAAATTCTTGATTTAAAATTAAACTCAAACGGTAGAAATTATGGTAACTTACCAACTACTCAGTACGTTTTAAGGATAACCATGATCTAGAGGTACCGAATTAAAAGCATTAGACAAACACGTCTACCATCGATCATAGATCGCAACGCCGGTACACCCCGCAAACCCATATATACCAATAAATTGAAATATAAATAATTCAAGTTAATGAAATCATCATTATTTTACTTTTTCAGTAATAAAACTGTTACTTCGTTGTTTGTCTAAGAACTAAGAATTACTAGGAACTGTGAAAATACTCGTTACCAAAGTCAAAGAAAAAGTTCATACAAATAATTATAAGTCACAAAATATGTTTGAATTTTAAATAGTTCTAAACCTAATACGCAATAAACCACCCGATGAGTACTGCAGTTAAGACCACGTGTAGTGACTCCGATAGCGAATCGAGTATATTTGAACGAGCTGAACTTTTTCCAAGAATATGTTGGGAATAAAATAGTATTACTACGGTCATTGGAATTACAGGCACGTACCTACTACTGCTAAATTCAAAGTGGTAGGATGTGAAAAACGTACAGCGGAGTGGAACAAATTAATAATATAAAGAACGCAGTTTAGACTTTTACATTATTTTTATTGGTATAGCTTCAATTATTGTCTTGTGATAATTAATAAAAAATGACTGATCGTATTTGTCCCCTTTTTTATTCTGATGGCTTTTATATCGTGCTAATTAAATTCTCGGGTACGCGGAATGGACAAACGTCATCAATTTGTTTTCAAAAGGATATATTTTCTTCTTTATAATATCTAGCTATCTACTGTAAAATATTAGATTTTGATTGGGTTTTCTGATTAAATACAAATGAGATCACTGGCAATTGGCCGATTTCGGGATTATCGTCATGTACAACTTGAACGCACTTTACGCGATCTTCAGGTTATATTGCGAAACGGATACAACTATGTTCAGCGTAATACCTATGATACCATTCAATATAATTTAATTAGGTTATATTGAATAGTTGAATTGTACATAATGTATTAACATTTAACACTTACTGAACAATAAACTAAATTCTATGATATTATATTATGTCTGACAAGAGAGTTAAACTATAACTCACATAAAAAAAAATATTTTTCAATATATATTTCTATAAATTTGAGCAATTAAAAACACCCGAATAAAATTATCAGGTCAAATTATTTAGTATAATCCTAAAATCGTGATCTCATTGTCAAGAAAAACATATTATAGATAATCATATTAAATATACAGCAATCTACATCTATAACTTTATAGGTATAGCTGTACTTATTTTGAAGGGATTTTCACAGGGAGGTTGAGGACTTTGAAGTCATCTTGGCTACTTTTTATGTTTCCTAAGCGAAAATTGGAAATGTGTTGAATCTCGGGGCAAAATGATTATATTTTCTATTTAATTATCATTGAGTTTTAATGGATAATTTTGTCACGGGGCGGTGGTTCTGAAACCACTCTTCAAACAGTGAAATCCCATTATTTAAAAAAAAGTATACAGCTCACTAAGGAGAAGGTGTAAGCATAGCTTCATAGCCTCAACACAAAAAAAAAAATTCCCCAAAACAACTGCTCCTGATTATTTACCCTGTTGAAATCTCTACTGTTCTCGTTGTTGTATGTTCGAGTGCGGACGTATACCTAAAAACATGGTAAACCATTTTCTCATACTAGGAAGTTATTATACTGAAACCAAAATGCACGTGCTCCGCATTTTTATACGATAATTTTTTTTTCTGCTAAATCCTGTGATATAGTTACTACATATTTAGCACCTATCCTGCAATATTATAATAATACTATATTGCTGTAAATTATATTATTATTAGGTACGCCGTCGTCAATTGTCCGGTATTATAGTAGTATTGTATGTTAAAACACTTGTTGCACGCACACCGCCGACGACGAAAGATGGGATGCCTACTACCAGTGTTGAACGCAGTGAGAGGGGGGGGGGGGTGGATAGTATGAAATGTATCAATATTTTAAATTTTGTAATCCCCCCCCCCAAATTTTTTTTCCTGCATTCACAATTGCCTATAACAAAACTGATCAAGAGGCGAGCAATCTCCAAAAGGGGTTTTCGCTGGGTCGCGATCATGATGGAGGCAGTGATGAATAGCCCAGACGAGGTTGAACGCCTTCATCGTGGCTGAGATCAAGAGAAAACCATATTTGGAACAGATGTTCGCTTCTTGATCTGCAGATATGTAGTACACCATGGTTCGTCGCCAGTATGTGCGCCGTTTTTTATGATCATATTTTCTGAACTACCTTTATACAGCGCCTATAAAACAATATCATATATTTATATTTATTTTAATATCTGAAATCATATTGTGACGTCATTATTGATTGTACGGCCAACTCGTTGACCACGATGTACAGTATACACGTGTTACACGCGCGCCGGCGGCGAACGAGGACCACCGCAAGGCTGGTCAAGCCGCGAGCATCTCTTCTATCTCCAAAAAGGTTTTGCCCTTGGTCTCGATCATGACGAACACCGCGGCGACGGCCCAAATGAAGTTCAACGCCGAGTATATGAAGTAATTGGAGTGGACGCCGAACGCTTGGGTGACGAACGTGTAGATGCTGTCCAGCAGGAACGAGGCGCTGGACTGGAGCATGACGCACAACGGGGCCGCCTTGGTCTTGACGTTGGCCGCGAACATCTCGCCGAGCAGCAAGTAAGCGAGCGTTCCGGCGCCCAACGAGTAAGACAGTACGTACACCCACAGCAACACCACCGGCAACCACGCCAACGACGAGCCTCCGTTCTCGTTGGCCACCGCGTACAGGCTGACGGCGTACGCGGCCGTTGCCAGGGCCATCGCGGAGTGCGACAACACCATCAGCGGCTTCCGGCCAATCCAGTCCACCAAAAACAGCGGCACCATATTACCGATGTTCTTGATCACGGAGAACACCACGACGGCCACCAACGGGTTCAACCAGTAGTTTTTGGACGGCAGCGTGATCGAGGTGAAGTGTATGAACTGCGGACCGATATTAGATTGTTGGCGATGAGCTCGCAATTAATGCGTTTGTTGAATTAATATGTGAAACGCGCGTTTTAGTTATTTTTATTTTAATCGATTTCGTAACAAACCACCTGACGTATCTGAAGGAATACCGCAGGTAGTTAACAATCGGTTAATGACTATAATAGTAGGTACATATCAATATTATCATCTATCGTTTTACTCATGAAAAATTATTTAAAATACAAATGAAACAAAATATATACATATGTTTGAACTATTCGTCCGGGTATAGTTCACCCGCCAAATAAAAAATATCTTACAGAGTGATAGTATAAAATATGGGTATCGAATTTCAAGATGAATATGTTACGCCTTTGTGGGGATGCACCTGAAGGATAAAATGTTATGTCAAAACGCCATGAATATAATATAATGTGTTTTTCACATCTTATTTTAATATACCTATACATTATGTACTGCGGAAAAGTGATACGATGTGATGTTAAAAATCGTAGACCTAGAGGTATGTTTTTTTTGATTACTAATGCATTTTATTACCATTTATTAACATTTATTTGAAAAATTGTGGAAGTAATTTAAGGTTTTGCTAAAAATATAATATAATTTGTTTCAAAATATTTTGTTTTTAATGTATATAATAAAATATATCCCCAATCGTATGTCAAGAATAATTAAATTTTTGTTAATAATAATTATCCACAACCAATAACAATCTTATATTTGTATACCACAAAAAACGTATCCTAAACGTCTTATCAGCCAAAGTTTCAAAGGCTCCTAATATACCCAGCCCAGAAAAAAACATTTTCAGTAGATGTGACAAATCCAGAACTCACCTTCAGATATCTAATACAAATGCATTGGCATTAAGCATATAGCTGAAACTCGTGTACAGGCATACTATACTTTGCATTTAATAATTAAGTTCTAGCAAACAGTGTCGTATAAAAAAAAATTATATTTTTACTTAGTCCTCAGAATTGGAAGAAGAAACTACCTATTAAACTCACCCAAATCTCTAGTATTCTTCGTTTTTTTTTATAATATCATCATAATTTATTGTGGTTCTAAACGAGCAAGTCGGACCCGAAATGATAAGCGGCTTCCAAAAACACATATTGCAAAATTTACATTTGCAAAGCCATCCATATGGTTTATATCACTCGCAAACGGATGATGTTTTCTGTTAATCAGCTTCAATGGAAAACGGAGGAATCACTGTTACCAGAGAAGCAAGCGAGCACCGAGTCCGTAGGTAAAGGTGTTATTTGTAAAACCATATTTTGCATACAAAAGTATTATGTTTTTTGAACCTCATAACATACAGTTTGACTAAACGTGTCATGCTATTTGTATCTTTAATTTTTAATTCTTATAATACAGATAATTGTTTACTAGTTCCTCCCCAAAGACCAAAAGTTGTTTAGTATTTTGTGGAAACATTAAAAAGAAAAAAAATTGGAAGAAATATTTTTATTCTGTTTATTTAATCAAACACGTACCCTCAAATATATAATGCTATTCATTTGGACACCTGTTTGATGCTATGCGTTATGAGTGTTAACTCATACAGTTACTAAAATATTTACAGAAAATACCTATCTAAATATGAGTCAGTTGGTTCTGTCAATTCATTTAAGTTATAAATCAGTTGCTGAAAAAATAAATTTAAAATGAACTAAATATAATATTCAACATAGTAACTCGATAAGACGATGCCGTACGCTCAATCTGGGGAAACACATCTCAGTGTACACGTACCGGCCGGCGTTGCCAGCTCCCGGATGGGTGAACACGTTTTTCAACCCCACCAACATACTAACCTACTAAAAATATACAAAAACCTACTACTGGTCTATCCTACACTCAGTGGCCTATGTTGCTAATAAAAGAAATAAAAATAAACATTCAATATAATATTAATTGTTTCTTTGAATTTAATATACTACTTATAAACCTAAGAATTAAATACTGAAATAAAATGGTAACAATATAAGTATGCAGTCATACGCGAACTATGTATCTTATTTTTAATGAATATTACGATATACCAATAAAATATTCACACTCTAAAAAATCAAGTCGTTGGCGATGTAGTATTATATTGTATTCTACCGGTAAAATGACTATTCCACTACCAATTAACCGTCAGTGTATCGTTTTCACGATTATTCTAAATAATAGTGTAGTAATAATTATCACTATACCCACCGGACTAATGCCGCTCAGTCTCTGAAACACGCAAGCTCCCGTCGTAATGATGAAAGCCCTCCGGTTGGACTTGGTCATGAACAGCTCTCGGTACGTTGTCTTTGACTGCATCTGCTTGGTGACTGTCTCCTCGATCATCGCCAACTCCTCCGCAACGTCATCCTTGGCGCGGATACGTCTGAGCGATTTCTCAGCTTCATCCTTCCGATCTTTCTGCATCAGGTAGTACGGGGATTCAGGCATCAAGAGGAACAGAAATGTGAACACGGTTGCCAAGGACAGACCCAGGAAATTGAGTTGTCGATAATTCAGAAACTGGCCGATCGTCTGTGTGCTTAGCATGCCAAACGCCAACGAAATCGGAAGCATGGACAACACAGCACCCCGTAACTTGACCTCGGCTATTTCGCCCACGTACATTGGTACGGAGCATATTGTCATCCCCTTGGCCAGTCCGGCGAACAGCCTGGCCAAGTATAGCACATCCAACCGGGACGGCCACGTGAGCATCATGGTCCAGGCGATCATGTTCATCGGACCGATGACGCTGATCGTCCGCTTCCTCCCGTATAATCCCAGAACATAACCGCATGGTATGGGGCTGATCATGTTGCCCAAGTCGTACATGGAGATCATCGTCCCGTAATTGGTCACATCCAACTCAGTCTGGTTGTTTTTCATCTGGTAGATGGCCGTCGACGACCATCCGATCCACGTACCACAGACCATATAACCCATACATGCTGCAGACGAAATGAATACCTATGCCTTTTAACTTTTCACAGTTGGTAATACTTTTAATATTATTTATATCTTTTCTATAAATGTGTACGATAACTATTTAAAAGTAAAAGGAATACGTTTCTGCAATTGAATATTTAATTTGTTTCTGGAGCATTAAGAATGAACAATCGATTTTGCATCGTTAGTCTGGCATTTTAAAAAAGTTTATAAATTTTGTATTTCCTTTATGTTTTTTATGTTTTCGTCGATTTGGTATGTCTACTTTTAAGATTTACTGTTAATATATGATTCACCTGATTTCCAAATTGTAATTAGCATGTATGCTATAGGCTTATTTTCATTACCAGCAGACTTGTACTCAAATAACAATTTAATGATATTTAAAATACTTTAAGAAACAAACATTCAAATATTTTATCTAACATATGAATAAGTTATTCATTAAAAAAACAAATTTGTTCTGCCCTAAAAATAGTGTAAAAAGCGTGATAAAAATAATATTCTTATCTATTTGTTAATTGTATAATCGTTGCTAGCATATGCATTCATATGCATTCATTCTATATTTTTTTTGAGTTTTATTTTTAGAAAAAGTATTCAAATACAAAATAAAAGCTATACCCCATTATCTGTTATGAAATTACCATCGCAGACATAACTTGTATACCTTATATCTATTATCTTATAATAATAGTATACCTACTATTATAGATACAAAATCAAAGTAGGAAAACACACATCGACAGTGTTGGAATTTCAAGTTTCTGTGATTTATAAAAGCTAATGATAATGTAAAACGATATTAAAATAGGAACTTCAACAAATATTTTAATTTTTCAAAATAAATTCCTAAGACATCATCAAAAACTCTTGACTTAAACGAAATAAGCAGGCTGTTTAATTAAATTAAATATATTAATACAATAAATAAAAAGTTATTTTGTTATATTTTATGTGATTATATGTTCAACGAACTATTTAAATTCATGGGAATTTGGCCTTTTAGTTGATAACTAATAACATATTCTTTTACTTTGCTTAAAACTTGAAAATTATTCAGGGCTTTGAATCCGAATTAACTCAAACCCCTTACACCCCTAAAAATCCTTAAAAATCCATATAACCCATTTTTAAATACCCCTATTAATTCACAACCCAATATTTTTTTATATACAAATTTAAATCATAATTTAAAATAAATAATAATTATTAAGAGAAACAATTTTGTTAAACAGATATAAATTATTTCAAATAATAACAAAAGTACAAAAATGTTTAATATCTTTTAAGGAGGAGTGAATGGGGGTGTTTATGTTGTTTTGATGATATTCGTTAAATGTATTTCTTGTGGTGTAAATGTACATTTTACGTCTTATATCTGATCATCTAATAATATTTCTTCTGTTTAATATCCATCTTAACCCGAAGAATAACGATTATTAACAATCAAAAGTTTGTTTAAATTTAATAATCTACTGATTGAGTATCCGAATACATCCAGCACTTGAAACCCGAATAAAATGATTCAAAATTCTGAAATTACTACGAATTTTAGTAATTTTACTATTCTTTCATGTATTAAAATATAATGAAATTACTTAAATCCGACAGTCTTTGTTCCATGCACTATTATTTGCTAAATCAAAGAAATTATAATGGTTGATTAGTAAAATATAAATACACTCATAATATTATGCTGATTCATAATATGTTTTTATAAATGTTATTTGTTAAAAGAAAAAAAAATAGTAATTGAGACAATTTTCTTTTTGTTTTTTTCCACTTACCCACACGTTATTCTACATTCTTAAATAAATATAAATGCATATTATTATCTTTATAAATTAAAATTTGAAATGCGTTTCTTTACATAAAGCAAAATTATAGAATATTATAATATATCATTTAATTGTGCATTTATTTGATAATGAAAAATAATAAAGTTTAGTCTCGGTAACTTGAATTTCAAAGGCAATGAAAATAAATTCGAGGAATGAATTTTCCCTATTGTGTACCTGAAGCAAAACTTTTTAAACCACTTCAAAGAGCAGGAAACAAAATTAGAGTCATCTACGTTTTTCAGATACTGAGACTTGACTATATTGTATTATATATAGGTAATAAATACAAAATATATAATTATATTTCTAATTTCTATACCTTAATTTGATAAATTATTTGTAAATAATTATAATTACCTATTATAGCAAATAAAAAGGTAAAGAACAATGTTTTGAATCTTCCTTCCGTCATCTAAAAAGATTTTTCAAGCAAAAAAACACTAGTGGTTTAATATATACACACTTGTATTGCATAAATTTACTAATGATGAAATAGTTTAAAATAAAACAATAAATCAAATGTTTATTTTTTCATTTCGATGGCAACATAATAATTATTGTTTATAATTATGTTTAATTGTTAAACTTTAACCTTTAAAATGGTTTATACAAAACTAAAAATAGAAGTCTGTTTGTTTAACCACAATCTATACTGCTTTAAAATAGCAGTTTCTCGAATTAAGTAAAACAATATACCTAGTTCCTTAATATGTTCCTCGGAAGTTTTAAACGATAAAAATATTCTAAACCCTAAAATGTTGAAGCTGTAGAAAAAAATTTGCACAGTACTCAAATGGACCGTCCACAAAATTGTTATCTCGTTAATACAACAGTTTTGAACTTGATTGTGTAGCAAAACAACATTTTCTGTGTCGTTTTTAGTTTATATAAATTTCTCATATTTATAGTTATGAATTATGTAAGTCAATTATTTTTAATGCTGAGTGAACTTCAGAAATATATTTTGGAAATGGTGAAAGCGTTTTTCTTCTAGTCCGATAAATACTTGTACGAACACTCTAGTTTCAATCGTTCAATGTTACATCTGCCAAACTCGATTGAACTTCTTCGTGTATTATTTTTAATGAGAGTTAACAAATATCGTTGATGGCTTAGCGTTTTAAAGAATTAGAAATAATTTCTTTCGTTACATTTTCACGCGACGAATGTTTGTGTACGATAACCGATTTTAAACGAACCTTTTCGTCTTCACATCTGCACAGCTTTGAAGTATATTACTTTGATATTGTACATCATCGTTTGACAACCGCTTGAGTGATTCGATCTCTATAAATAAGTGTAATTATTTTAAACTGATAATATTTTTGAATTTTCACTGAACATTAGAGTTACAATTTCCGTCGTATACCCGACGTCATAAATTTGAGTCGACTGAAATGAATACGTAACGAAGACACAATTACATTGTTCAGCAAAATTATATTTAACAATAATAATAATAATAATAATGACGCATCAAATGATAATAACAGGATTATTGCGATAAATTCTAATTGCTGGATATCGAAAATCATTACATGTCATTAATTGTTATATCGTAGCATCATACACAGGCATATCTACAATTATTACTCAATCTGGTAAAACGTTGCTCTTTGTACCAGGTGCGTTATTTTATGCCAGTATTTATTTATTTTTTAAACAAATTACTATGTATTCCGCTTATTATTATACATATTGTTTTTATTTTGTAATTGATATCTTAACCGTGTATTTAATATTATGTTGAGTGTAATCTGTATATTTATTTAAGGGCAACTCGTAGATATTTTTTTAAACGGCCGAAAACTGCTTCTGAGGGAAACTGACCAAAAGTATTTAAATAACTTAAAACTATCTAAAATATATATGTATTTAATAACCTAATGATTTATACTTGTATAGCTTTATTATTTGAACTTAAAGATAATTTCTAATTGCATAATTATACTTTACACAATAGTATAGGTACTAATTATTTGGTATACTAATTAAATATCTCTAGCATACAAGTTGAAATTAACTCATTCGGAATTCAAATATGTTTTATGTTTCTTTATTCTAAAATATATATATACATATATATTATGCAGTTTTATTAAAAGTTACCAAAAAGAACACAATGAAAAAACAAATATAATTTATTCATAGAAATTGTAGTATTTATTTTAAGTATATTAATAATTCATATTTTATTTTGTTTTGTTATTCTTCAATTATATTCCTGAAAATGCTCTCTCTTTATTACAGAGTATTAAAACCGAAGACGATTCGACGCAGTGAACAAAATGTAATCCTCATGGCTTACATATCCTAATACATAATGCATGGATATCGGAGTAAGTATCATAGGTCTCTGACTCTCAGCTACCACAATCTATATGGTGTACTATTGCAAATATTATACATAAAATAATCAAAATAATCAAAATTGTAATGTTTTGTCTGCTATATAATTATTCGTGTTCGTCATAAATTTAAGTTTTAAATAGTAAACTCTATTTTTACTCTCAAAAAAAAAAATCTTAAAATCGTAAGTGAATAAAATAAAAATTGTATTATAACTACTATAAATTGAAAGAAAACATATTTAGAGAAGGTACCTACTCAAAGTATACTATATTTATAACGTATTTTATAATAACACGCAACATAGAATACCTATACTCAACATAAATAATATAAGTAGAATAAATCATTTTTTTTTTTTATAGAATCTTCTTCAATTAATTGGAGTAACCTATTTTTCAGAAATATTCTAAGCAAAAATGCACTTGAGGATATAATATTATGAATAGTATTGTATTTTTCTCTAACAGAAAGAAACGAGCAACTAGATGATGTTAGAGTGAGCAATATGTTCAGCTTGACTAAGTAAGTGTAAGGTAACCACAATAAACAGCTTTTAACATAATTGTATGCATAATATATGTTACAACCATTAGCAAATTGAGCGTTTACTATTCTTGGATAGTGCTGTAATAGACGTACCTGTAAAATATACGTACAAACTTAGTAGAATATCTAACAATTATAAAATATATTATCTATTGAATACTAATCGTGTCCATTGTACATTACGCAAATGCGCAATGCGTATTTGAAATCAAAAAAAAAAAAATTTTTATTGGTTATAAATATTATTCGTTAAGACTTTGTACCGTATAATAAATTATTATAATAACAATATATTTTGTACAGCAGTACTATATTATTATTAATTGTCTAACCTAGGAAAAGATAAATATTTACTTACAGTTTGTTTTTAATAATTACAACAGCGTATTGGTTTGTATCTAAGCGCGGCCTGAATGAATAAAGTTACAATAAATAGCTGCGGTTAAATTCAATTTTCATAAACATGTAAAATTAATTTAATGGTTCCGAAGCTTTAATAAGTTTTATAAATTCAAAGTCCATTGATGTCCGTTGTATTGGATGATGGTCCTGGACATAATATTAATAAACATACAGGGCCAAAAAGAGATCCAACGACTAAAAACACGGTGACATTTTAAAACGACCTTTAGATATTATTTTATATTATACGTATGATGTTGATAAACCATTAAGTCGACAAACAGTAAAATCACATGATTTTCACATGTTAGATATACCTACAATAATATCTATAGCCGGCCAAACAACCCCTTTGAGATGATTATAATACCTACATAAAAACGCATTGCCCATGTGATAGCGTCCATCACTTTTCCCAATAAATAAAAATGAACTTGTGATTTCGGCTATGATATATTTTTGTAATCAAAAAAAGTACGTTTTTTAGTATATTATTTTCTAAAAGATTTTAAAACTGACCAGTTTCGAAAAGTACAAAGTAAAAAAATTACAGTTCCCTGACTGTTAAATATTTAATGTAATGAAAAATATTTTTCATTGATGAATGATAAAAAATGATCGTTATATGATGGTATATCCTATGAACTATTTGAATGCGAGTAAAAAAAAACTTAAATTAAAAACTCTATAACCACGATATGTCGGCAATGAAAAAAAAATGATACTATCGATAAATGACCTTTTCGTATTATTAGTTTTCCGCACTCCGATTGAAAATTATAAATAAATCAACTAATTAGAAAAAAATAATTTTTAGTTTTTTTCTCAAATTCCAGTTCTTTTGCAAAAAAAAAAGCGCAATTAAAATAATTTATAAATTAAAGTATTTTAATATCATAACTACTCATGGATTATACCAACTCGTAAACATAATATTATATTATGCATTTTTTTTTTAAATTGATTAAATTAAATATAAATAATACTTAAACTTTCACTTGCCTGTATGTCATATTTTCATAATTACTAATATTAGATACCTATGCTTACACGACTAAAATAAATACCTACTGCAGTAGGTATAAATATATGTTTGTACATCAACAATTATGGTTGTTATATAATCTAATAAATACAATACATTTTTATAGTACTTATGAAGAATTATACCCGCACAATCATTAGTTATTACTTATTATGTATAGGTATTAATTTTTTTATGAGCTTTGTCTGCCTTTCTTTATAAAAATAACAAATAATAATGATATTTGAATATTTGTGTAACAACTCTCAAAATGCATATTATATTTTCAATATAAATACTACCAATGATGATTCATAGTACTATGTATCATCAATGCTACTACTTAACGGAAATTTTCATCGAAAAAAGGTAATAATATTTTTTATGGAGGAATTTAGTATCAATAATATTCAAATATTACGAGAATATTTGTTTTGTTATGCTGTAAATTCCAAGAATGGCTTACAGGTATCTGTTAAAAGACACGTATAATACGTTATTATTATTATTAATATATTATGTATTATATGCAGGTATTTACATTATTTTAGTGATTTCTCAGCATTAGGTTTTTGGTAGATTTATTATGTTACTTATGAACGAATACGTAGGAACTTAAAATTTAAAAAAAAAATAAGTGTTCTTACCTACTTTCTGTCACTAAAAACTTATCTGTACAATATGAGCTGATAAAGGAATAACTAATAAAACATTATTGTTTTGTATTTGTTTAAGGTTGTGTAACATAATATGTCGTTCGTATATTTTGGATAGCGGCATTATATCCGTTAGTTTATTGAACGTTATTTGAAAAAAATAGAGCTTTTGTCTGGGAATGTTGTTTCTAGCCAATAAATGAAAAATAGTCACTTAAATTATCTGTTATTACGATGTGTATTGGACTTACAGACAATAATATTGAACAAGTATTCGGGACTTTGCTGACTATTGGTTGCTGCGTATGATCATAAAAAAGCTAATGTTCGTTTCAAGCATCTATCTCGAATGGCAAAAACTGGAGTTTTTTTCTGCGAAAAAGAAAACATGTAAGAAATACTAAGTAAGTTATAAATTGTACGCAGATTTTG